TCGAAATCTTAATGCTGCAATGTTTTTAATATTATATATATAGTTAATTAAAAATTGAAATAACTAATTTATAAACTTAATATAAATATCAGCTTTTAAATAAGCTTATTTTATATATTCTTGTAGTAATGTATAAAAATATAATATATAATGCAATATTGGTATGGTATATTATAATTTGAAAAAAAATACGCTCGTATTTAGGTAAATATATAACTTTTTAATATTTTAATATTTATAAAATATGTAAAATAATAGTGAAAAAAAATGTTTTAATTAGAAAATTTAAAGGCTCAGAAGTTAGACATTGGAGCATATTAGAAACTGTAGGCGGTGTTGGTGAAGGCGGTTTTACAACTACACTAGCAGAAGTGTCCGCAACTCTTTGTGAAGGACCAGGCGTGATCGTACACAAGGACTCAGCTGCAAAAACATCGGCAACAATTTCATTTTTATATTTTTGTAGATTTGATTCGATCGATTCTGGGTCTTTAGGTGTTTGTGTTTGATCCGATTTGATAAATTGCTTGTAGCATTTTCAATGGTAATTTTTAGTGCATTCCTTACATTTGTACACCGACTTAAATAGTTTGCAGCGTACTAAACGATATGGAAAAAAAATCGTTTTAATGAAATTATGGCTATGATCCATTTTCAAATGTTTATGTGCAAATTGTATGAACGATACGATACGATTACAATAGTCAACTAATTGTTTATATCCCAAATATTTATTCAACGATTGGATTTCATGGGTTGCTAATAGTTTCATGCAAATAGTGTAGGTAGTTATTATTATTTTTTAATTTCAGCGTGGTAATCAAGGCCGTAACTGGAAATTAATTTCGGGGGGGGGGGGGGGGTTGTAAGCCAAAAATGTGTGTTCTAATCTTAATATATATAAATCTCATGTCACAATGTTTGTCCTCAATGGACTCCTAAACCACTTAACCGATTCTGATGAAATTTTTACACCGCGCGTAATTTGGTCCAACTTAAAAGACAGGATATATGGTATGGACCTAACTCCTGGGAGGTAGAGATTTAGAGACAAAAACCGAGTTACACCGGTGGCACCCTCTAGCAGATAAAAATAAAATATAAATAATAATACAAAAATCGATAATAGCATGGCTTGAAATCGTTTAATATCGATAAAAAGCGAAAAAAAAAATTATTTATTGCATACAAAAGTTACGTTACCATGGCCACAATAATTTCAATTTATTTTATTTTATTTTATTTTATTTTATTTTTGTGCCATGATAACATGCCACCGAAAAAATCTAACTTCAACAACGCGAGCAGCAAAGGGTCACGACGCAAACGTGTTGAAAGAGCTCAGCAATTACCAGAACAAATGGAAACAAGAAATGCAGCTCTACAACCTACACCTACGTTCAATCATCTCCAACTTTCAGGATTTTACGGAAATATTCACTGACGGCTCCAAAATGGAAAGTGGTGTCGGAGCAGCTGTGGTATTTCAGGACCACGTTTCCATGCTTAGACTCCCTAATTTTTGCTCAATATACTCGGCCGAGGCAATGGCAATTTCATTTGCCTTGGACCTCATAAAAATAAAACGTCTACAGAAAACAGTAGTCCTTAGCGACTCACTAAGCACTTTGAGGAGTATTGAAAATCAATCCAACCCGAATGAGATCGCCAGAAAAATCCAGAATCAACTCTACGACCTTACGCATTCCGGCTACTCAACCACCTTAATATGGATTCCTAGTCATAAGCAGATTACGGGAAATGAAAGAGCTGACGAGAAAGCACGCCATGCAATAACATCCCCAGACGCGATTAGACTCAACTGTTTCACGCTACACGACGCCAAATCCATAGCAAAAACAATTTCCGACAACATATGGCTACGGACATGGAAACAAGGTTCCACAAAATTAAATGAAATTAAAAATACCATTCACCCATGGCCCTCTCCATCGGACTTTTCAAGGAAAATAGAAACTGCAATAAACAGACTGCGGATAGGACACACGTGGCTAACACACCATTATCTGATGAAAAAGGAAGACCCGCCCATTTGTGCAGGTTGTGGCACCTCTCTCTCAATCAAACACATAGTATCAGAATGTCGCGTATACGAAACGGATAAACGGGAAGCCGGGGTATCCAACATCTTATCAGAAGCCTTCCACCCAGACAATATTAACAATACGATTTCATTTATAATCAAGTCAAATCTTATAAATAGTATATAACACGTAAATATTTGTATATATATATTATGTAATGGATGTAAACTTATGCCAATGGCCTTTGACGCCGAGGCTTTATTAACAATAAAAAAAAAAAAAAAAAAAAAAAAAAAAAAAAGAAATGCAGCTCAAAGAATTAGGACTGCAGAAAGTCGTGCACGAGAATCTCAAGAACAGCGTGACGAACGTCTGCAACAGAATATTACGAGAACGAGAGCGGCACGAGAACGAAACATAGCTACATTACGAGAAAGAGATCGACAAAGGCAACGGATCAGCCGCTCATTAACACGTGCATCATTCGTTCGGCTTGCCTTTGATTATGCACCAGACATTAACTACTCAGCGCATTCAAAGATTGCTATCGGTGGAATGGATAAAGTATGTCAATATTGTCAGGCATTGAAATTTCGGAATGAAGCTGCCGGCATGTGCTGCGCATCAGGAAAAGTTGTGCTGGCACCTCTACCCGCCCCGCCGGAGCCTTTATTATCCCTTCTTACTGGCAATTCTGATGATTCCAAATTATTTTTGCGTAAGATACGCAAATTTAATTCTTGCTTCCAAATGACGTCATTTGGGGCAACTAAAATTTGCGATCGTGCATCCGATGGACGTAATTTTGAAACTACATTCAAAATTCAAGGCCAGGTGTACCATAAAATCGGATCACTGATGCCAATGCCTGATAACAATCCGAAATTTCTTCAAATTTATTTTAATTTATTATTTTACTGGATGGTGGGCGAACAGCACATTCAACATTCAAGCTGCATAATAAACGACGTTCATAATAAACCAGATGCAATGTGTAACATCAAAAAGAATAGTGGAATAGCTGCAATGTTGCGGAAGAGTTCTATAATAATTTGGGATGAGTGCACAATGGCATACAAATATTCACTTGAAGCACTAAACAGAACTATGCAAGATTTAAACAGCAATAATAAACTTTTCGGTGGTGCTATCTTACTTTTGTCTGGTGACTTCCGGCAGACCTTACCGGTTATACCTCGCTCTACTTTCGCGGATGAGATTAATGCATGTTTGAAACAATCATTCTTATGGCGAAGTGTCGAAACACTTCGAATGACCATAAATATGCGAGTACAATTGCAAAATGATCCATCAGCACAATTATTTTCCGAACAACTATTAGATATTGGGAACGGTAAAATAGAACTGCAACCAAATACGCAATACATTAAACTACCAGACAATTTTTGCACTGTTGTTCAGGATAAAAATGAAATGATTCAGAGTATTTTCCCGGATATACAGAATAATTATTTGAATCATGAATGGCTTAGTCAACGGGCGATTTTGGCACCCAAAAACGTTGACGTTGACGAAATTAACTTCCAGAAACAACAGTTGTTACCAGGCGATCTGATGTCATTTAAATCAATCGATATTGTTGTTGACGAAAATGAAAGTGTAAATTTTCCGATTGAATTTTTAAATTCATTAGATATCCCTGGAATGCCACCACATAATCTTCGATTAAAGATTGGTTCCCCTATTATTCTCCTCCGTAATTTGAAGTTAACTCAATTATGTAACGGTACGCGTTTGGTCATCAAAAAGATTACCGGAAACATTCTTGAAACAACCATTTTGTCTGGGAAGTTTAAAGGAAAAGTGGTCCTGCTGCCACGTATTCCGATGATACCATCAGATTCTACCATACCCTTCAAAAGGCTACAGTTTCCAATTCGTTTAGCTTTCGCCATGTCTATAAATAAATCTCAAGGTCAAACAATGTCCATTTGTGGTTTAGATTTGGAAAATCCATGTTTTTCTCATGGGCAACTATATGTTGCGTGTTCACGTGTTGGGAAACCGTCGAATCTATTTGTGTTAGCTAAAGACAGGTTAACCAAAAGCATTGTGCACCGATTGGTGTTAAATTAAATTGAAAAAATTAAAAGTATTTATAATTTAAAAAATTAGATATTAACGTTTAAAAGTTTAAGACTGTCTGCTTAATATCAAGTGTAAGAACATTTAGCCACAGCAACGCGTGGCCGGGCAGCTAGTTGTATTATAATATTGTGTTAAAAATTTAAATATGGTTAAAAATTCATAATATTGTAGAATTATAAATAGTATTTATTAATGAAATTCACATTAAAAATTTTTTAGACTTAATATTAATTAGATTATTAAACTTAAATCTATACATTTAGTTTGAAAAATGGTTTATATTTTATATGACAAACTCTAAATTTCTTTGTTTTTCATTTGAAAAACGATTGATTACTTCTTCTGGATCTACAACGATATTCCTATGTACACTGAGTAATGCTAGGCCAGTCAATCGGTCTTCTCCAGTTGCATTCCTTAGGTAATTTTTTATTCTTTTCAGCGTCGAAAAAGTTCTTTCCGGTGTCGCCGTAGTTACTGGTAAAGTTGCCAAAACTTTTAATAAAAATGAAATATTTGGGAAAAAATTTTTGTTACAATTTGAATATGCTTCAAGTATTTCAGGAGATCGTTCTAATATTGGTTTATCACACCATTTTCTTTTCCAAAGTTTTAACTCGTTCGAAAGTGCATCCAAATCTAAAAACTCTGAGTATAATTCGAAATCACTTGCTTCTAATTCAGAATTAGTACATTTATTGGGAAGTAAAAAGCACAGCGAAGATATTTTTTTATGGTTAGTGAAGCGTTCTTTTAATTGTCTTATGAAATCATCAAAAAATGGTATTGCAATAGCTATACGAAAATATGTTTTCGGACAATTAGTAATAATATTTACACGATTTTGTTTACGAGCTACTATTCTGGGAATTCTAATATTTTCTTCTCCATCAATAGATTTTAAAAGAAGTTCAGATTTTTCAAAAATGTCATTAAACGTATGATCAATATTTTCACGTAAATGAATTAATTCGTTTAGTATTGTCTCGATATGTTGTACAGCTTCTACTAAGTCACAACTAACTGATTGTAAATTTTTACACAGTGGAAGTGTCATTGAAAACAGAGTATTTGATGTAACCATACTTAATATAAATTCACTAGTAACTATTGCTCGATAAAATTGAATTGATTTTGATGACGTATTGATGTCTTGAACTAATTGTAATTCTTCCAAAGTTTCAACAATGGGTTGGAAAATTTCAACAAATCTTTGAATTCCGTTGTGGTTTTCAACCCAACGAGTGTCACACATTGATGTCAGTTTAGTCCACTTGGTATTAGGTAAAATGTTTTTTATATTAGTTTTTAATATATTTGTCCGCATAGCCGAACTTTTAATGAAATTTCCAATAGATTTTATTGTACCAATACAATTTCTGACGTATTGAACATTGCACGAATGAGCTAGCGCTAAATTTAAAGAGTGCGCACTACAATGCACGTAAAGTGCTGCTGGATGACTTTCCCTTATAATAGTTTGGACGCCTTTAAGATTTCCACTCATGGACGCAGCGCCATCATAACCCTGACCGACCATATATTTATCGTTAATTCCAAGTGCTTGTAATGAATTTATTATTACAGAGGCTAGGTTTTGACCAGTTGTACTGTGAACCGGTACAAATTGTAAAAAGTCTTCACGTAAAACATAATTAATAGTATCAGTTGTCTCTACTGAATCTATATTATATCTAATACAAAGAGTCAATTGCTCTATGCGTGATATGTCGGTAGTTTCGTCAACGAGAACCGAAAACGACTTCGCTGCATTAATTTTACAAACTAAATTATCTTGAATTATTTTCCCACAAATCTTAATAAAATTATTTTGTATACTAGGACTTATGTACATAGCGTTTAAAGACTGATTTTCAATATGATTAATTAATTGTTTGTCTCCGCATGAAATTCGCATACGCAACAGTGCTCTAAAATTACCATCATTATGATCAGGTTCAACAATATTTAAATCAAGAGGACCCGAATCATTTCGCCCTCGAAGTGCTAACTCTTGTCGGCCACATAAAATAATTGTTTTTATAATTGGAACGAGTTTTTTTCTATTTTCAGAAATTTGTATAGCTCTTGCGGAATCGAGTTGTTGTCGAATATCTGGTTGAAGTTTGGTATACGTGTTAATAAAATTTTCACCAAATATTACACTATTTTTATGAAATTGTGTTGTGCTATGATGGGATAAAGTTTCAATAGCTTTTTTCCAATTATTAAATGGCTTATTAACTAAGATTCCCAATTGTTGATGATTTCCCTTTCCTCCGAAATCCCTGGCAAATAAAACACAAAACGTGCACATTGCTCCTTGTTCGCCTATTGTTGTGTAAGCAAGCCAAGAAAATTTTTTAAACCAATTAAACTGGAATTTTAAATTTCTTTTTCCAACTATGGGAAATTTATAAGTTTCATCGGGTGTCCATTTATTTACTAATAATTTATACTTCAATTCGTTACTTACAGTTGAATTCAAATATTTCCCAATATCATAAATATTAACGTTTGAGGTAGATGTTTCATTGTTCAACTCTGGACGTAAACTTGATGTATGTGGTGTGTCTTCAACTTCATTTTCCAATAAATTTAATTTAGGCTTTTTTATAAAGAAATTATTCATCATAGTGTTTTGTCTTTTTGCCATTTCAAATAAATTAATTAAACACTTCGTAAATCGTAGCACACTAAAACGTCAGAACGTAAACCAAATGTCAACTAAATATTGGAAATGAATATTGCCCGAAAAAGTTTTAACTATTATCAAAGACTATTAAGATAGGATTACTGAAATACTAAGAAATAGTTCTTTGTCGATTACACATTCTGGTGGTAATGTATTATACATATATACCTATGTAGTATGTACCTATAATATTATCAAGAAATCCGGCTGATACACCCGAAGTGAAGTTATTTTTAAGTTTATAACGTAGACCATAGCTGTCATTCGTATATGCACGTATCAATGTTTATCGATTATTCTAGACTGAAATATTTATTTTATTACGACATAAAATAACGCGAAAAATTTCGTGGGGGGGGGGGGGGGACCCCCCCCCCCCCCCAGATACGGCCTTGGTGGTAATATTTTTTTTGTTAAAATTATTATTTACATTAAATATCCTTGTTTTATTTTATGAATATAGTAATGTTGAGCGATATTATAAATAGTTTTAGTTAATTCATAAATATTGTCCAAACGTTATAAATGCTTGGATGTAATAAAATGCAGTATTATGTATTATAATAACTTATGTGTACATGCTTTTTTTAAACATTTCATTATTTAAGTAATAGAATTTTAGTGTACATTTTTCAGTGGTCAGTCAATACTCAACTATCAACTTTATTATTCACGAAATTGTATATAAACAATATTAATAATATTTAGCTTATTATGATCATGCACATTATCTGATTTGCAGCAGTGTATTTGTTAGGATACTGGATAGTTCACGTAAAAGTTTTTTTTATTACAATTTTTTTTCAAAAGGTTTTACCAAATACTTAATACCGCTAGAAAAATTTTAATACGTATTCACTAATTGTTTTTATTTTTTTTTTTTTATATTTACTCTCCGATCACATTATTAAACGATACAATTTGAATAAAAAATTCCACATATCATCACCCGAAGGCGAAATAAACGACCAATCACGGGCGAAGGTTAGGTTATTTAGTTTTAACATAAAATTAATTTACTAGTAAATCGTAATAATATTGTTGCCGTTACTAAACATCTTGATGACCTCAGCGGGTGCACGCACGCCGCACCAGACGACATCGCCGCCGGACAATCATAATATTATAGTTCGTCCGTCGTCGTGCCACACCGTCGCCGTGATAACAGTAATCTGCAACGTCTCGGCATTTGTTTTGTTTTGTCGTTAATTTTCTCTTTTTATTACAAATTTTAACCGTCGCGCTGTGTATATTCTCCGTCGTCAAACTGATTTTTTTTTAAATTTGCGTTACGAGTGCGTATTATCATTTTCATTGTGTTAGGTACTCTCATTTTTACGCGTTGTCCGATCTCGTTCGTCGCTACAAATAGGTATATATTGCTCGCCGAAGGGCATTCGTACCCGCTTCGTCATATTATTACAATTATTATAATTTTAATTTATTATTACTTATTAATAATTATTAACTCATTTACTACGAGTGCGTGTTATAGTTAATTATTATAATGATAAAGTTGATATTATATAATATCAACATAAAATAGAAAATATAAATAAATTTTATGACTAACAAATTAAAAAAAATTATATACATAATATAACAATTCAGAGAGATATTACCAATGAAGGCAATTAGAAACATATACTTATTTAAAATTATTTGTATTATTAATTACATATAATATAATAGGGTGGAAAAGGGCAGATGATAATTTTCTATTAAAGCTTCAAAAATGCCAAAACGCAATTATTAAGGTTATGAGTAAAAAAATTGGAGATATCCAACGAAAAAACTATTTCAACGTTCTTAATATAAACAACTCATACAAATCATTATCACATACTTAAAAAAACAAAACCAATTATCTCCCGTTAACCATGAAATTAATACTAGACACGCAGCTTATAACTTTCTTTAGACTGGCCAAATAAAACGGATGCGTAAGTATACCATTTCATGGGGATTCAGATATACAACTAATGCCTATTCATAAAGCTAATATGCTTTACTCCATTCAAAACATATTTATCAGTTCCAACATGAATATACTGCGAGTAAATTTAAAATGTTATATTTTAAATATATATTATTTATTAAAAATACTATACAAGAAAACCCTGGGTCTATATGAGTTTTTCTAGTAAGGTTCAGTAAACTTTCTGATTTTAATGAAATAAAAATAAATAAATTATATATTCCTATAATCAGATAAAATAATTATACTTTGTTAAATTTAAATATTAAATAGACATTTTTATATAAAATTTTTAACTATATAATAGTATACCACAACGTACTATTTGTTACAGTTGTTTCTGGCATTGTTCACCAACTCCTTATATGAAAATACAAAATGTATACATCATTATTAAGAACAGCTACGTAATCAATGAAGCATAACAGA